CTTAAATGCAAATGTAATGGGTGTAACTATTGGACAAGGTAGGAGAAGACAACTCCAGCCATGGTACAGAAAGACAACTCCAGCCATGGTACAGAAAGACAACTTAAATGCAAATGTAATGGGTGTAACTATTGGACAAGGTAGGAGAAGACAACTCCAGCCATGGTACAGAAAGACAACTCCAGCCATGGTACAGAAAGACAACTTAAATGCAAATGTAATGGGTGTAACTATTGGACAAGGTAGGAGAAGACAACTCCAGCCATGGTACAGAAAGACAACTCCAGCCATGGTACAGAAAGACAACTTAAATGCAAATGTAATGGGTGTAACTATTGGACAAGGTAGGAGAAGACAACTCCAGCCATGGTACAGAAAGACAACTCCAGCCATGGTACAGAAAGACAACTTAAATGCAAATGTAATGGGTGTAACTATTGGACAAGGTAGGAGAAGACAACTCCAGCCATGGTACAGAAAGACAACTCCAGCCATGGTACAGAAAGACAACTTAAATGCAAATGTAATGGGTGTAACTATTGGACAAGGTAGGAGAAGACAACTCCAGCCATGGTACAGAAAGACAACTCCAGCCATGGTACAGAAAGACAACTTAAATGCAAATGTAATGGGTGTAACTATTGGACAAGGTAGGAGAAGACAACTCCAGCCATGGTACAGAAAGACAACTCCAGCCATGGTACAGAAAGACAACTTAAATGCAAATGTAATGGGTGTAACTATTGGACAAGGTAGGAGAAGACAACTCCAGCCATGGTACAGAAAGACAACTTGCAGACAAATTGAACGAAGCTAGGTTACTCTTGGACAAAGTAAGAGAGGATAACTCAAATACATAAAGACAACTTAAAGACAAAATAAATGTAGGTGACTCAGGGACATGGTACAGGATTCAGAGGAAGACACCCTGAAGAAAAATAAATGTAGGTAGTTCTTGGACAAAGTAAGAGAAGATAACTCAATAACATGGTACAGAAAGATAACTTAATGACAAATTAAACGTAGGTAACTCTTGGACAAAGTAAGAGAGGACAACTCAAATACATAAAGACAACTTAAAGACAAAATAAATGTAGGTGACTCAGGGACATGGTACAGGATTCAGAGGAAGTCACCCTGAAGAAAAATGAATGTAGGTAGTTCTTGGACAAAGTAAGAGGAGATAACTCAATGACATGGTACAGAAAGATAACTTAATGACAAATTAAACGTAGGTAACTCTTGGACAAAGTAAGAGAGGACAACTCAAATACATAAAGACAACTGAAAGACAAATTAACAGTAGGTAACTCTTGGACAGGGTAAGAGAAGACAACTCAAGTACAGAAGACAATTTAAAGATAAATTAAATGTAGGTGACTCAGGGACATGGTACAGGATTCAGAGGAAGACACCCTGAAGAAAAATTAATGTATGTAGTTCTTGGACAAAGTAAGAGAAGATAACTCAATGACATGGTACAGAAAGATAACTTAATGACAAATTAAGCGTAGGTAACTCTTGGACAAAGTAAGAGAGGACAACTCAAATACATAAAGACAACTGAAAGACAAATTAACAGAAGGTAACTCTTGGACAGGGTAAGAGAAGACAACTCAAGTACAGAAGACAATTTAAAGATAAATTAAATGTAGGTGACTCAGGGACATGGTACAGGATTCAGAGGAAGTCACCCTGAAGAAAAATAAATGTAGGTAGTTCTTGGACAAAGTAAGAGGAGATTACTCAATGACATGGTACAGAAAGATAACTTAATGACAAATTAAACGTAGGTAACTCTTGGACAAAGTAAGAGAGGACAACTCAAATACATAAAGACAACTGAAAGACAAATTAACAGTAGGTAACTCTTGGACATGGTATTTAGAGAAGACAACTCAAGTACGGAAAGACAACTGATAGACAAATTAAACGTAGGTTACTCTTGGACAAATTAAGAGAAGACAATCTAAGGACAGTGTAAAAATAAACAACTCAGGGACAAGGTCAGTGATTACAACTCAAAGGCAATTGTCAACAATTCTTGGACAAGGTAAGGGAAGACAACTTAAGTACAGAAAGTCAACTAAAAGATAAATTAAAAAGACAAATTAAATGTCGATAATTCTTAGACAAGGTAAGAGAAGACAACTTGAGGACATGATACAGAAAGACAACTTAAAGACAAATTAAACGTAGTAGGTAACTCTTGGACAAGGTAAGGGAAGACAACTGAAGCACAATGCAACAGTAAACATTTAAGGACATGTTACTGGAAGACAGTTCAAGGACAAAAGACAAATTTAATGGTAGGCTATGCTTGGACAAGGACATGGTAAATAAAGCACTAATTTGTAACTCAAAGACAAAGTAAAACTTGGCAATACTTGGACAAGACAAAGGAAAATAACTCAAGGACAATTCAAGGACAATGTCAGTGTAGACCACTCAAAGACAAACTTAAGATAGATAACTCTGGGGCAAGGTCAGGGTTTATATTTCTCGGGTTTATTAAGGGTAGTCAACGAAATGGCAAGGTAAACATGAATACATATTTAAGAGAGGCAAATCGGGAACTCGATAAGGGTAGGCAACTCAAGGGCAAAGGTAGACCATTATTATGTCAGGAAATATATAATAATATTATGTTAATATTGATTAACAGGTCAAGTGTATAATTCTTTCCCAGGTTGAAGTTCGTGCACTGTCTTTCATAACATCATCAAGAGTTTAAATATCAATCAGAAACCCTACACTTGTAGTAACTGTCTGTATGTTTGTCTGTAGAATGTGCTAATCGTAGAGGACATTGTCGACACCGGACGGACTATGGAACGACTCCTGGACCATCTGAAACAGTTTGAATGCAAAATGGTTAAAGTTGCAAGGTAAGGTATCTGAACACTGAGTAAAAGTAAATGACATTAATTGCCCAATTGAGATATTTTTGGATGACATATTACATTTGTACCTGTAAGATATTGGAAATTATTCATTAAATGAAAGTGTTATTTTTTCACTGCAGTGAGGATTATAATATAACACCTTCTTGGATTTTAACCAATCAGAATGAAACATAAAATCAATGATATTATAATATTAACCAATCAGAAAACTTGAAATATGTATTTTGGGCTTTGTCCTTGAATTGTCACGTTGTAGGACGCTCAACACCAATACTATAGAATCATGTTATCTTGGTACGTTAATGGTGATTAGCTAAAAACAGAGGAAGCAGCAAAAATATATCTATTTCTTGTATTAAATATATCAACATTTCAAGGAGAGTAACTGAGCTGACAAAATTCCTTATTTTAAAACAATTAGGAAGCTCCATCTTATGGATAGTACAGTACTGCTTATGCAATCTCATTATCTAAATGTGCGAATACCCAGAGAAAACCCACTTGGTCAAGCATATTACCACGAATAACATGCCATGAGTTATAATTCAGTCACAAATTTAAAATTAATTCTCAATCTTTAGAATGATCTCCTCCATTTTTTAAAACAAGACAAATTATACTACATGGAGATAACAGCTTTCATGACAGTTAAAAAATACTCCGAGTAGTAGAAAATAAACGGTTGATTACTGTGTTTCAGTCTTTGTGTGAAGAGAACGGTGAGGAGGACAGCCATTGTAGGCTACAGACCTGACTGTAAGTAACTATAGGGTGTATAGAGTCGTCTCACGAACAGTTACTAACAGGGAGTGACATCTATTTAGAATAAGGCAGCTGGCCTTACATTTTTAGACCCCATAAGTAGAATATCTTCAATTATTTTAGTAAAAAATGTTATATAATAGTTTTATACACAACAATGTACGCATTAAACGTGTCACAACCTATTCAATACAATGTATATACACTCTCTTTCGTTAGGCGAAACATCCCGGGTAGAGTGACATGTGAAATACCTGGGTATACAATTTCGTCACATTATTATACAGGTATACAATACAAATCGCTCACTCAGTCATAGCTTGACAAAGGGACCAGTCAGTTTTGAAACGTTGCAACACATTTAGCTTGACAAAGGGACCAGTCAGTTTTGAAACGTTGCAACACATTTAGCTTGACAAAGGGACCAGTCAGTTTTAAAACGTTGCAACACATTTAGCTTGTCAAAGGGACCAGTCAGTTTTGAAACGTTGCAACACATTTAGCTTGACAAAGGGACCAGTCAGTTTTGAAACGTTGCCACACAATGTGTACATTGTTTGTGTAAAAAGTAAAACTTGACACACATAGCCCTTTAAGCGAAATTGAGATAGAGTGATATAGGGAATGATTTATATGGGGTGGGTTTGTTTCTTGTTGGAGGGAGAATGGTTTTATCAACTATGTTTGGATGATTAGGAGAGAAGTTGATGTTTTATTGGGGGTTAGGATGGGCTTATTTGGTGAGGGGTTATTGGGAGGGTTCACAAATTGGGAGTGATTTTGCCCCCAATGTTGGAAGGGTATTCACTGTAATCTAGCATAAGATAGTAATGGGAAAGGCCAGCTAATTGGAATAGAACTTGAAAAAAGTGTTACATAGTTAGAGAGTATATGGAGAAGTGAAATAGAATACAGTGATTCGTGGGTGACTTATCATTAGAGAAGCTTCATAAATTGGAAGTGATGGATTGGGGATGGTTGTGATTGGAGTGAAGTCAAACGCAAGCAAATTAATCCACAGCTGTGGTGAATACATATATGTATAGTGAACACTCGCGATCGACTGTGCTGTCCAATTAGACCACTAGCACATGGTTGCGAATTTCCTCGCTCTATGCACCGACAATGATTTAGAGTTTCCCTTTTGATTTGACTGTTATCCTACCTGCATGTAGCCATTGAATATGATTGTGAAGTGAGCTTTAATGTCATGTTCAATTATCTGGTAAAATTTTACCTCATTTTCTGTGGTCGGTTTATTATCTCTCAATTCTAGATCTGTACAATTGATCTACCGGTATAAAGAAAATTCTTATTGCAGTTTTCTGGATTTAATATCTAAAAGAATTATTTTTTTGGATAATTTAAGCTGTTATTCTCTTCGTGCATATTTTATAAGTTATTTAGGTTTTTTGAAAGAGAAAAATAAAACAGACTATCACGCCAACACCTAACTCAATCATTAAGTTTGAAGTGGACCTATTACAGGACAATAAAATAACAGTTGCTAGTATTTCTACTAAACTGTATTTGGAAGGGGTGGGCTTATTACCAGGCATCGTCCCAACAATATATTGGGCATTGCTAGATTTCTAAACTGGTATCTACCCTGGTATTCAGCAGATTTTGCTTTCATTTCTCCAAGAACATCTTTTAAATTTAAAGTGACTTAAGTTGCATATAAAAGTTGGATACATTTTTTTATTACTGTAACTTGAATGTTAAAAATAGGGAACATATGGACTTTAATTTATAATTGTTTATTGGGGCTGCAATCGTACATTAACATGACTATAGGATAAGTATCACGATACTTTAATGGTCACGATACAATATGTATCACGGTACACATAATAACAGTAGAAGCAAAGCGAAAAGATATGTTGCAAATTTTTAATGGAAATAATTGATATTGCAACTGGAAATAGACTTGATGGGCATGACTTGAAAAGTTTCATACTATGCACGTCTTTCGACGTGCATGCAGAGCTTAATTGAGCTTCACTTGCCATGTCGGAATGGATACGAGTAGACTAAATTCAGAAATGACAAAAGCCGTAAAATATTGTAGGTGTATCGTTTTCAAAATATTGCGATATATTGTTGCACGATGTATCGTTACAGCCCTGTATAATATATATATATATATGCATGGCACTAATTAGATGGTGTTGGAATAATATGGCTAAGTGGCTGCAACATTAGGTTAAATAAGATGCTGAAGGAGATACATGTACAGAGGTCAGTAAAACATCATCTCTTCATCCTTTTATCTAATTCAGCCCACGATGAAATCCAAGCTGATAGTGGCCATGGTTTATTATAAAGTTGAACCTGGTCTGTAGTAATAATTACTAATACTATATACATAAATATATATACTTAGTTGATGTAAATAAGACCTGCTCTGAAAACAAGCTCAATGATACCAACAAACTGGCATTCAATGTAATTGTTATAATATGTTTTTGCCACAAAATTTTAAAAGTACAATGGATAGGATAATTGATATGAATTATAAGTATTGCTGTTTGCATGGTTCTCTTCTAGTGTATATTTTTGAATGAGAAGAAAATAGGTTGGCGATGGTCTTGTAGTTTGTTTGTAAAGTGTTCTAGTTCTCGTAACAGCAGTGGTCTTTTGAAGAATTTTGAATTTCCAGTGACACTGCAATGTTATAACTGTTACAGATGTGTTTATCAATATATTAAGATCTGGATGTTTATATTCACTATTCAATAAAAAATGAAATATGAATCAACATTACTCTTTTAGTGCATGTTTTTGATGAAACTAGTTTGATAGCTGAATTATATATAATTCTTATGTTATTACAATTTTACATGTAAGGTGTTGCAAAAGCCCATAAAAATGATACGATAAATTGTTCAGTTGAAAGGTTACAGCATTTTATGATGCAATTCAATATTTAATCTTTGTATGTAGATCAATATTTACAGTCAAAATCAGATAAAACCAAATTTGGTTTGCTATATTTCACTCCCAATGAAATATTCCTTTGTTCTGATAGATTTGTATATCTGGATCAGTGTGCCAGCTGGAATACCACTAAAGTTAAATAAAATCAATGAAATAATTCCACTTTATGAATATTAATGTGAAGGCCACAACAGTTCGAAATGGATGCTAAACATTTATTTTGTCAACATTTTACAATGTTAAAATGAAACCATCCAATCACTGAACTTTATTTGTTAGGAAAATGTATGAGGTCTGATGTCACCCAGCAGAGAAATGTAATTTGTATCTACAACATTTTGATCTATCTTGGAATTAATTGATTGGCTTGGCCCTACAACCTACAATACAGGAAAATATATTGATACCAGTTGATGGTGGTGTGCATATATGTAAATCAATACCTATGTCACTTTCCAGTAGTAGTTTTAATACATGTTGTAATTAATTAACTCTGCCAAGGGCTCTGGGCCTTTTACTGAGAAGTTACATATGGATGATATGTAAGCATGCTATGCTGTCACGATGGACGTTTTTTTCATGAATGGATGCATTGCACACGCAATCATGTCACAATTACCCATGGAATGTGGCCACTGCAATCCTCTTTATACAATTAAAAGAGCAATATTATAGTACACGCACAAGCCAAAAGAAGTTAATATTTGGTATAGTGTATAGAATGGACTAATTAATACAAGATTGATGTCCATGCATCTTTCGTCACTGAATAAATTGCCCCCATTATTGATAGAAATTTGACTGACAGATTGTCCTTTATAAAACATTAAGTACTGGTTGAACTAGCTACATAATCATGATCCATTTATGTATTCATGTGTACTTTAATAAAATTTTGATAACTTGTTTTAGCTTCTGTAAATAATCAACAAAAAATACATGATTAATTTTGTTTATTTTTTTGACATTTATATATAGTTGACCAATGGAAAAAACAATGTTTATATTCAAATTGCTGTGCATGATTTCTGTTTGATAGCAAATTATAAACAAGCAATTTGTGCAACCAAAACGAAGTTTTGTAGATGAATGCATGTACATGTATATATATTTACCTCCTCTTGTCTCCCAATAAATAGCTGTAATTGCATTAAGTACTAATTATCTCCCCTTGGTCATAAAATAACTTTGTGGTATATGGTGTTTCTGCTGTCCTGAATGACCCTATTTTAAAGCATTCTGACTCAACAGTTATTTGCATGCCCTTTGATGTTTTGGTGACAGGCTTTATGGTTTGGCATTTTTACCTTCCATCCTCCCCCCCCC